CCTAGGAAATCAAAGTAGAATCTGGAGGTACTCCTCGGGTACTATTTCTTTTTCTCCACAAAGGAGAAGGAAGAAAAAGCTGACCCATCTTCAGGGGGCTTAAGGTTCCCACTTTTGTCCATAGGAATTCTAAGATTTTCATAGAAATTGGAAAGGTCAAATAACTCTAGGGCGGGTATCATGGGGTTTCTTGTAACTTTGATCCTCGAGGATCTGATATCCAAGCTCCTTTATCTAATCGTAGACCAGATGGTGCGGGTGTAGGATTGCACTCTGAATACAGCAGACTGCCACTTCCGAAGTACTGAGTGTAGCTGATGGGTGTTCTTTCCAACCTTCTAATGAGAGGCAAAGTAGAGAAAGTATTATCCAATTTCACTGTCTGTTTGGCATCCCTGGACCTTGCGGTTAGATGTTACCACCCAGAAGGTGGACTTATCTTTTTCAATTGGTGGTCTCAAAAACCTCTAACTACCTGCAATAGTGACTTTATAATAAGGTGGGTTTATAGTTATCATAGACTCTTGCCAGAAGGATTTTTCAGAATTTCACTCTAATCATTCCGTTAATTTTTTCATGTCTGTGCTGTTGAAACTCTTCACCATAAATGTTGATGTAAAAACACTTTTCTGATTAACTGTTGTGCACCTAGCCCCTAAATGTTCCAGCAGACAGGTTTTTTTTGACATTTTGTTGTTGAGAAAATGTCAGAGAACTGTATTTAAATAACTGGATGATGATATCCCTCATAATAGTTCTTCAGGTCTACAACTCCAAGATGGTGTAATGGCAAACTCAGTCAGAAGATGGTTGTTAGCCTCAGATCTCTTCCCATTCAGGAGATTTGTAGGGAAGCCGAATAGAGCTCTGTGCGCAGTTGACGTTTTGAAGTTTATTTGTAGTTTGTTTATAATTACAGGGATCAGATTCTTTATTTTTGAGACATCTTAATCTGAGACTATGCCTATTGTTCATTACAGTAATGCCAAGATATTATATTTGGCACATGGGGAAAGTTTATACTAGGTAACCACAAGAACATTGAACTGATACTAGGCTTTTAGGATATGTTCGCAAATCCTTTATCTGCGAATTTGCCTTGGCAAGGAATTGACTTCTATAATTAGTTGAAATTAATAATATGCTAACCTATAGGGTAAAGATACTCCAACATTATTAGTAAATATGGACAAGGGAGGCTGGGCATTTGTATGACTATTCATGACAGCCGCTCGCTCCCATAATAGGTGAGACCACCATGTAAGAGGGAGACCTGGACCATCAGACTTGTTTGGTATGCCAGGTTAGAGGGCTGGACCCCTGCCTCTTACCACCAGATCCCCAAGGGTGTAAATATATGATCTTATGTGTGAGGAATGGTTAAGATATCACCTTAATTATATTTTTGCTATCTTTTCATGTGGTTTGGAGCTTTTTTGTCTTTGCTAATTGAGCTAATAAAAGTAGTTACACTGTGGGTATAGCAAAGCTTTATCTCCGGTGTGCACGCCCAGGTTCCCAAATAGACATTGAACGTAATAACCCTGATTCTATAATGCTGATTCTTGAACTAAATCTTACAATCCCCCAGTTCTTTAAATCAGTAATAATCAATAACCACTAATGAATCAGTCTATGTTTGAAAGGAACAGGGAAAAAGCAGTTATTGGTAATGGAATTGTCATGCAGGCTTGCTTGTGCTTCCTGAAGAACAGGGAAGGTATTCTAGGGGTTTAAAACTTTGAGCTAAATCAAACCCAACCTATCATGAGCCTGAGGCACAGTGGTAATCTATTACACCAGTCTACCTTCAGAGAATAAAAATCACAGGTAAGTGACTCTCCCTGTAACTATCTTTTTTTTTTTCTTTTCTTTTTCAGTCCTGACTCTTCCTATGAGACGATGATTAGCAAATGGCCATCTGTCTGGGTGAAGATATCTTCCAGCTGGATTGGCATTGTGCTGTATGTGTGGACTCTAGTGGCTCCGCTGGTTCTTACAAACCGTGACTTCGACTGAGCTGTGCTTCTCCTTTGAACGCTTCAGTTCATTTCACCACTTGTTGAAACTAACAGTATTCCAGACTAAAATGCAGTTGTAAATATGTGCATGCTTGCTGCCCATGTAGTAGACCGTGCCTTGTTCTGCATGATTACCTTTAGATCATGTCCTCTTGCCATTTCACTAAATGACTTTTCTAGCCAAGCTCAGTGATTAATTACTATGCCATTGGTTTTCATAGGAGTACTTTAGGTTTAGTGCTGTGGGTGAGGTAGATGTAAAATCAGTCCATTTGTTGTATTCCCCTCCCTCCCCCAATGCTGTGAGTAGCAAAGGGTGCAAGAACAACTGGGTTGGAACTTTATTTAATTAGATGGAGTTAAAAACAAGGTTTTATAGGAGGAATTTTAAGCAAATTAGGGCTATTTTTGACAATTCGTGTTGCCTTGTTTTCAAAGTCAGCCTTCAGTAAGTATTGAGCATTTAGGTCAATTCAAACGGTGCATGTTACACTTCTGTCTGATATCTTGCAGCCTTTTGGCTCTGTCTTGTTTTCACTATGTAATATATATATAAATGTATTTAGCTTGAATGCTAAATTGAAGGAATTTGAACCTACACTTCTCTGAACATTCTCTTTGGAGCTAGTGTATTAGACATGCCCTATTGCTGACAAAAGGACACACAAAAAATAAACATGCTGTGAAGATTTGGCCCCAGGAGTCAAAGATGTATATTGTAAACCTGTGTCTTTAGAAAATACTTTAATACTTTATATATTGCTAAATTATACTCTGGCTCTAATCAAGCTGAGATGTTGCAGGGAAAGCAGTAAGCCTGTTTGCAAAGGATAATGAGGCACCGGCTGGGTGTGACAGCAAATGCTTATGATCAGAAGTTTGGAGAAAAAGGAGTACTGAAGTTAGTCATTAGAGACTTGCATTCTATAGCTGGCTTCTACAAAATTATTATTTAATCTTTAAGTTCAGGGTATTAGAAACTGATCTGTTTTAATATCTTATGGTACCTGTTTCTGCTGGTGTGGACATGTGCCTGGAAAATAGATGTGGGCATCAAGTTAACTAGTTGGGCTGATTTAAAAAAAAAAAAAAAAAACTTGTATACTTTTGTGCAATTCTTGAAAATTTTTAAATGCTATTGTGCTTGCTGCTTTATAATTAAATAAGCTGTGGTGTGTGTGTGTGTATGTATGTATGTATGTGTGCATGCTCTGCTGGTGGTTATGTTGAGACTGACAATCTCAGTGGGAGTGAACCCAGAGCTGTACTTCAGCAGTCATCATATAAACTACCCTATGGTGTTTCTACTGCTGTCTCATGTAGCTAATTCTTGTCTCATAAGTTTTATTTTAAATTGCTCAAACACATTGGCATAGGCTAAGTAAGACTGACTTGTTAGTCAGAGCCAGTGACATTTGGAGGCAGCTGAAGCCAATACTGTGTACAGTCATTTTGAACATATTACCTATTAATAAACAACTTCAAATAAAGATGTGGTTTTATTTTCTGATGGCTACAAATTAGTCAGGGGATGCAGTTTGTATTGAAGACTAAACTACTAGAGTAAAACAAGTGCTACAAACTGGTGTTTAGAAAGTTCATATCACCTGAAGAGCTTTTTCAACAGCAGGGTTCATGAGGGGTTCCACCCCTTTCCTGCCCCTAGTGTAGTGTGACTTGCACCCAATGGGGATAAACTGCTATAGTGCAAATTGCCTGCACTCAACATTTGGATGGGTGGTTAACTTCCTACCCCAGATAAGGCTATAGGCAGATGACACCATCTGACACTTGGTTTATAATGAAGTATGTGATTCAAGCTACAATTAACATTAAATAGTGGCAACAAACTGGGCTGCTGATTAAAGGAAGTATAAATAGAGCATTGTTAAAGCCTAACCCTTAATCATACAATGTTTAAGTCCTGAGCCACTGAAGACAGAAGCAAATGTCTTGACTCATGTTTCCTGTTATTAAACTATACTTATTGGGCTCATTTGGTTCCTTCTAGTACAGTTAGCAACAAAGGGGCAGAGCTCACTTTAATTTGGAATGACTTTTCAGTCTTTCCTTTACTGCTTCCAGGTTCAATACTCCTACCTAGCTTAATTAGCTAAGGGTTTTCTTCCCTGCACTAGTTACCTCAAGCTTTTTAGTTATACATTGAGTAATATTAAAGACATGAAAAGAACACCTGAGTTGCATTTCAGCCAGCTGTCTGTACCTTCACTACATTTGAATTAAATGTCATCTTGTACATCATCCCCTGAGGACAGGTGCCCAAACTTTGGTTTTAACCACTTCTGATGGTTTGTGAACTCAGTTCTTTAAATAGAAGGGATAGCATAAACACACCCAAAGTTAGGTGACCTTATGCAGGAGCAGTGAACAGCCTGAACACTGATCACTGTGAAAACTACTAAGCACATGCAGCTCTTCAACATGCCATGCCTAGTCTCTGGGTTGCAATGAACACTGCAGGTGGGGTTCTACCATATTTGGAGGAGGGGAATATATGTGTAATTAAAACAAATCTCTTAAATGGTCTAACCACCCTCAATATACCTTTCCATTCAATTGTTTCTTCTGGGACTGCCTTTCATTAGATACTCTAAGCCAGTGGTTCTCAAACTTTTGTACTGGTGACCCCTTTCACATAGCAAGCCTGAGTACAACCCCCCCTTATAAATTAAACACTAATATAAACACAATTATAAATGCTGGATGCAAAGTGGAATGTTGTGTGCTGTTGAAGAGCTACTTCCTTCAAACACAGAGGTGGCTGTATTTCAGTGGAGGCTGAAAACTTTCATGTGCATACTGGCTTCATATAGAGTCTCATAGTATTACAAACACCCATTGTTAGCTCAAATGCAGGTCTCTTGCCCCAGCAAGAGACTCAGTTCTCTACTCAGGCAAATATCCATTGACATCATGGGTTTGGGGTGGAGGCTGACAGCTTGTGACCTTCTCAGGGGTCCCAACCCCCACTCAGAACCACTGCTCTAAGCAGTATTTAGTGAAATTAACTTGATAAACTAGCAACTCAGCTGACCCATTAAGAATGTTTAAATAGCACATCTTTTCATGCCACAACATCAAAATTGTTTACTAGGTGAGTTCTCCTGTGGTACAACAGTACATATACCAAATAGGGGCACCCTCAACAGGTGAAGCCAGAGACCTACACAGCCAGTGGCCTCTGATAGTGAGGTGTGCTATATACTAAGCTGCTTCCATTTCAGCTGACTTATTTTTTGACTAGCTGAGAGGAAACTAAGTGCTATAAACTTTTATTTACCAGTAGGTCATAATGCATTAAGAGCACTTACTGTTATGCTTGCCAAAAGGTACTTGTTTGAATAGGATAATGCCTTCTGAATGAGTACACAGTAGTAGCTTTCTAGATACATTTTACAAATTCCATTAATGAAAATATACTCAGTTACTATGGTTACAGCTACACAGGGATAACCCCTCTCCCCATGGCTGGCCAAATCAGCTGACTCAGGCTCAGTGGAAGGTCCCAGAGCATAGGCTCCAGTCCAAACCCAATTTTTAGCCCTATGAGTTCAAGTCCACTGACCTGAGCCAACTCCAGCCATGCTATTTTATCCTTGAGCAGATGTACCCTACATCTACAATACATTTGTTTACTGGTGGTAGAGAAGATGAGTCAATGCACAAAAATTGGTGAGAATTCGAGATTTTTTTCTGCCTGATTCAAGTAGCTTGAAAACAGGTGTTTAACTGAAATGCTACAAGATCCCTACTTAACAGTGAACACAGTATTATCTGTATATAAAAACAGCATATTTCATGCTCAATGGTATCAAAACAACCTATTTTTATTACTATCTCAGCATGTTAATGTAGTAAAGTGTACATCTTTCACTTGATACATAGCTCATGTAGAGTCTGACCTGACCTCTTGAAATTTATCCTACCCAATTACTGGTTTTAAAAAAAATTGTTCTGAAACTGAAAACTAAGACTGTCTTTTATGGCATACACTAGCATGAATTAAAGTTACTTCATGTACAGTAGTTCATCTGAAAACATGTTCTAAGCATTGACTCAAAGTGTAGACAATGTAAAAGATGACCCCTAACAAAAGTCACACCTAGATAACATTTATTTTATCAAAGTGGATGGTTCAGGTTAGAACTCATGCATGCAAGTGGCTCCTGTCTTAATAAATAAAAGCTTCCATTTCTCTCCTGTCATGTATGATCACACTCACTGAAAACTAAGGCAGAACCAAAGAGTCAACTAGGTAACAGGCACTTTGTTCCCAATTCAACCAGAAAAAATACAGCTCAACTCAGGTCTTGATGCACCCCCTCCCCCCACCCAAAACGTTTTTTAAACAAAAGGTTGTAAAAATAGAAAACCAAAATACAGAAAACATTCAGAGTTCTACACAATACAGAGTTATTCTACTCAATCATACATAGAACCAAAAAGTCTAAGAGTGTAAAACAACGGTCATTCTGACATGAATTTTGATTACCTGGAATATTTTGTATTCTCTATAAATACCAAATATTTGACAGCAATTAAAAAGTTTGGTAACTTAGTTGCATATACCAAGTCATACTATGTCTATGATGTCTTGTATAAGTACACAACTACTTACACATATTCAAAGAGCAGTTTGTGGGAAGAAGGATAGGCGAGAGATTCCACAATAGCTGGTTATACTAACCGAAGTATTTACCAAAAAACCCAGAAAGATACCAAATGATATCCTAAATAAATAGTTCGTTTTGATGAATATATACAAAGTTCCTGCTATGTTAGTTATCCAAGAATGGCATATCTGTGTCCATGGGTGCAGGAGCAAGTTCACATAAATAAAACAGTGTGGCTTCACTAGCTTCCGCCTCAGTCAGTGGCTCCAGCCGCACTAACTTGCTTTGAGTTGGTTCAGGGTCCAGGCTGCTTTCCAGAAGCTCATCCACTTCTAAGGGTTTGTCTAGGGAGGACATGGTTTCAGATGTGGAATTTCCACCCTCAACAGTTGCACCTGGACTCCCATCAAGGAATGCAAGGAGTGGAAAGGCAGTGTATTGAATGAGCTGTTTATCTACAAGGGAAGAAAAATAATACTTCAGAAACTCACTATTAGTTTACATGCACAGTCCTAATTCCAAAAATTTTAGTGTACTTTTTACAAAGCAAACCACATTATAAAAATATTTTTGAACAAAAATGGTTACTTTTTAAAAAAATTGGGCATACTATTGAAGTGTTGCAAGAAGCAAAGTAAACAGTTTATTGTTCAGATTTGTCGGAAACACCAACATTAAATCAGTTTTGTCTTTGCATCTGGTGCAATGCAAATTCTTCACAGTTAACTATTTTGGTTCTTGTCATGTTATCAGCATGAAGCAATCAAGCAGATAAGACCTGACTCAGCAGGATCTTGTTTTAACAAGAACTTCACAACTTTTCCTCTTACATCTTTTCAGCTGAACAACTATGAAGCTCTTCCTGCAAAGAAAGCCATGCCATTCGCTGTACTAACCTGATTTGGGCTTAGAACTCTGTGTGTCCTGTGAAGCAGGCTGAGGTCCATTACTCTTTGTAGTTTCTATTCCTTTTGTCTCCAAATGAAAAAAGAAACTGAAGTCAAAACTTAATCTGAAATAGGCTTTAAAAAACCCAGTCTGCATAAGTAACAAAAAGGTAACAACTGACGAATCCTGACAAAGTCTAACTAACTATTAAAATAACCTGCACTAGCCTGTAAAAAGATGATGTTACAACTGTATGGCAACTATTCATGTGGCTTAATGGATGCCGGTCTAGAAAATAACATGAAGTGAAACAGTGGTACATCCAAGTAGGAACTGAGACAGATTAACATTTATGGAGGATTACTGTTCTACAGTTAGACCTCAAATCGGAGGAGCATTAGCTTCTCTTCTTGGTTCTGCTATAGGCGCTAGTTTCACTTTCCTCATCTTTAAAAATGTTTGCTGTTTCCCCTAGATACCATGGTGATAAGCATGGTATAAAACTTTTACCCACCCACCCCTCCCCCCAATTTGTGCTGTTATTCCCTTCCAGCTACAAAGCAGAATAGGAATAAATTCAACTGTAGTTTTTGCATCAAAATTAGAGGTTTCATTAAGAAAATATGAAAATGCTTTGTCACTTCAGTAATGGGCACAGCTATAGGACAAGTTGTTCACCAACCTCCAACTGTGGCCTTGGCTACACTTGTGAGTTACAGCGCAATAAAGCCACCCACAGCGCTGTACCTCACTCCCCGTACACACTGGCAAGGCACGTACAGCGCTGTCTCTCCCTGGCTACAGCGCTGCAGGTACTCCACCTCCACAAGAGGAATGAGAGATGCAGTGTAGTGGCTACAACTCCCGGGCGTCAGTGTGAACGAGGAGTTAACTTGCTGCGCTGTGATAATCCCCTTATCAAGTGGCCACTCTTTTCATTGTTGTGATCGGCTCCGGGAATGCGGAAGTGCCGTTTCAAAGCTCCATACCAGAGAGAAAAAGCAAACATTTTGCTGTTTGCTTTGAGTGAGTGAATGAGAAGCAGGGGGTGCAGGGGGGTCAGAACTTGCAAGGCAGCCTGCTGACACACAGCACCCCAAAACCCACTCTCGCCCCACACTCCCTGTCACACTCCACCCCCCACTTTTGAAAAGCACGTTGCAGCCACATGAATGCTCGGATAGTTGCCCATAATGCACCGCTCCCAATGCAGCTGCAAATGCTGCAAATGTGGCCACGCCAGTGCGGACAGACTGCAGCGCTTTCCCTACTCAGCTGTACAAAGGCGGGTTTAACTCACAGCGCTGTACAGCTGCAAGTGTAGCCATACCCTGTATTTGTATTTCTCGCTACTGTAGACTTTGGAACTTACTTTTGTATTACTGATATGATCTGTGGGATTCATCTGCACGGAGCTTGTAAAAAGCTGAACAAGACAAAACACAGTTTTAAAATTCCAAATGTTGGTATATACTAAGTATAGGTCACTAAATATATGGGTGTAAATATTTTACTATACTTTATTAATTGTTTATATTATAGGATCTGAGCAGGATTGGGTCCCCTTTTAAAAGTTTGCCATTTTGTGCAAAACGTTTGCTAAGGAAAAGCCTAATTGTGGAGAAGACCTGCTACGTTTTGAGACTGCAGGGCACTGGTAACGCCCACACCATGGCAACATCTGTACCATGTCTAGCTCAGAACATTGCTGTATGTTAGTCCTCCAGTTTCAGAAACACCAGATTCAGAAAAGTGTGAACTGCCACACAGTTGACCAGTTAAGAGAGAGGAATGATAGGTAAGAGAACTAAGGACCAGTGGACTGAAACTACAGTCACCTCATTCATTTGAATTATAAATGTGGCAAAAAAATTCCACTCTTCTCTCCCCCGCTGCTTAACTTTGAAACTTTTCATCTGGAAATTAAACCTATGAACAGTAACATAGAATTCACAATTGTACAACATCTGCCTGGGCATGCATAGGTTTTTCCCTGAACAGCACACTTTTCAATATATACGGGCGGGCACCAGCCACTAAAACTGGATCTCCAGTCCCCTTATTCCCTTCTGTTTCCTCCTCTCCAAGTGTGTCATTTTCAGGCACAATTTGGAACCATTAGAATACATACTCAGTTCAAAATTTTGTGGCCCAGAATACACTTGGCCCTTGAGCCTTGGGAGCCTGATAAAGACTCAGAGTCCCTGCTTCCCCATTTACGAAGCGGGTCCTAGAACAGTGGTTTTTTTCAAGCTTTTTTTCTGGCAACCCAGTTGAAGAAAATTGTTGATGCCCACGACCCAACGGAGCTGGGGATGAGGGCTGGGGCAGGAGGTTGGGATGCAGGAGGGGGTCAGGGCTCTGGGCTGCGAGCTCTGGGGGTGGGTCCAGGGATGAGGGGGTTTGGGTGCAGGAAAGGGCTCCAGGTTGGGGGAGGGGAGTGCTGAGGGCTGGGGATTGGGCCAAGGGCTTACCTCCGGCGGCTCCCGGTCAGCGGCGCAGCCAGCATGCAGTGGCAGGCTTCCCGCCTGTCCTGGCACCGCGGACCGCACTGCGCCCCAGAAGCAGCCAGCAGGTCTGGCTCTTAGACGGAGGCACACAAGTGGCTCCACGCAGCTCTTGCCTGCAAACACTGCCCCCCCAGCTCCCATTGGCCGGAGCCAGTGCTCAAGGCAAGGGCAGCGCATGAAGCTCTGTGGCCCCGCCTACGACCCGGACCTGCTGCTGGCCGCTTCTGGGGTGCAGTGTGGTGTCAGAACAGGTAGGGACTACTAGTTTTTACTGGCCGGCTGCCAGGGTCCCTGGGTGCTGAGCAAGGTGATCCAGTGCCTTGCATTCCACGACCCAGTACTGGGTTGCGACCCAAACTTTGAAAACCACTGTGCTAGAAAAATCTACCTCATGGATCAGGCCTGAAGCCAATCTTTGGTTCCCTTATCCACTTTTGGCCAACTTCATGGAAGTACACATGCAGTTCTAGTCAACAGCACCAGTTCTTCTACTAAACATACATAAATTGGTGTAGCAGTTAAAAGAGCGAGCACTTCAGGGGCATTTGAAGCATTACACCAGTACTGAAGCATGCACTACTCTTTGTGCTTCCTTCCGACCCCACCCCCCTTTTTTTGTTTTTTTTTTATATATAAAGGGAACAAAATTAACTGCCACATTTGTCCATGTGGCACAGCTAAAGTAATAAGCATCAGGAAATACAAGAGATTTCTACAGTAATACTAATTCGGCTATTTTGAAGACAGAACCTTTGCATAGCTGTTTCCTTGTTATAAAGGCTGTGTGTTAACATTTTTAGTATGCAATATACAGGATGAGCAATAAGACTAAATTATAACTCTAGAAATGTTTGAGTCTTCCGATTTTAAATTTTATAATTGTGCAGGCTTTATAAAAAGGTGCATGAACTTTTTGAATTAAAATTTTAAATTAAGCTTTAAGATATCCTCTTGAGAAGTGTGTATTTGCATCCTCAATGATCTTGTTCATTACAAAATAAAAAACAGAGGAAGTTGCTAGAAATACATACATCAACCAGAAGATCAGGGTCTATGCTGAACTGTCGTCCTGACAGCATGGCTTGGAAGTCCTCTAAACTGCAATCAATACTGTCAAGATAATCCAATAGCTCAACTCTGGAAGATTAGAAAAAAAAAAAAAAAAAAAAAAAAAAAAAAAAAGGGTTATGTGTTCAGAAATAGCCGCAACACTTCTCCTGACACGGTGAAAAAAAATCAAGTGAGGTGCAGGGTACCCCATGAAAGTCTGTTATAAAGATACTGTAGCGAGGCGGTGGGATACCCCACAGCCCCGCTGAGGGCCGAACCTCCCCTAATACCAACGTGGGCAGAGACACCGGGTTCAGCGCCCGCCCCTCAGAGGTCACGGCACCAACCCGGAAGTATAAAAGCCTGCCTGCAGAGCTCAGTGAAGCCCACGCCGGCGGAGAGAGCAGACGTCCTTGGCCGAGCTCCCGCTTGGGAAACAGCCGCAGGCCGCGACCGGCCTGCTGACTTACCAGGCCTGCCGAGCCTACCTCTCGCCCGGTACCCCGAGGAGGACTGGCCACGCCTGCCCCGTGCCAGCTACCCCGAGGAGGAGCCGAGCCTGCTCCGTGCCAGCTACCCCGAGGAGGAGCCGATGCTGGTGGAGAGCACCGAGGACAGTAGGACGGCCCAGGTACCATACAAGGGGAAGTGTGGAAGTAGCCCGGGGGCAGCCGACCCCAGTCTGGCTGCTACACTGCCAGAGCCGATGTCAGTGTGTTGCGGCCAGGATCCCCACTGACAGCAGCGAGTTTCCGCCGCTGCTAGGGCCCCGGGCTGGGACGCAGTGGAGTGGGAGGGCCTGCGTCCCCCCTGCCACCCACTCCTTGGGTGGCAGACTCCCCCTTTTCCCCTGGCCTAGAGGGCCTGGGCTGCTACAAACTCTGACCCAGCCCCTGCTTAAGGCTTGGGTTACTGACTGACTATTTGCTTGCTGCCCCGCCCTGACCTAGGGCCTGGGCTGCTATAGACATTGCCTCAGCCCCCGTGTAGCGAGGCGGTGGGATACCCCATAGCCCCGCTGAGGGCCGAACCCCGGCCGAGACTACTACAGATACAGAAACTTTACAATTCACCCGTTGGAATAGATATAGGCAACAGTACCATCATCACTGCTTGTTTAAAACTGCACTGGCAAGTGCTGACAGGATATTTCTCTCTGCCTGGTGTCAAACAGTTAAGAATGTCTGACAGGATTGTCAATTTATACATCTGAGATTCACAAATCAATTTTTTACATTGTGACAGCACAGGAAGGCAACAGGCTGTGACCCATTCACAAAGCTGCTGTCTCCACAATAAAGAAGAGCAGAATTCACTTTCGGTTAATTAGGATTATTTTTAAAGCTGGAAGTAGATCCTTTTATATTACAAGCTAACAGTACAAAATGAGTCAGATGGTTGCATATGGGGATGAAAAGGAAGAATGCACAAGTGATTCATAAGACAATTTAAAAAAAAACATTCCACCAGCACGTGCTGATTGCAACTAACATTGTAAATAAGTAAGTTATTTCCTCTGCTATACAATCTATACCCTAAAGACAAACAATGTAGTAGCCTTTAGCTTGTGTTTTAACTTAAACCATTTAAAAAAAACCCCCACCTTTAGAGTGCAATAATAAAAGTCTGTCAGAGGGCTTTAAAGAAAAAAAAAAAAAAAAAAAAAAGGGAGTTCATATCCAACAAAGGGTGAAAAAACAAAAACAAAAAAACCATCCTTAAGGTGACCTTGCAGGGAGGGAGGGACTGATTTTGTGCCCTTGCTTGATTTTTTTATGATACATTAAGAGGGCCTGAAAGAGCAAAATACACATTACAAAGATGTTTCACATTTAAAGATTCAGACTGTGTCTATCTAGGCTGGAAGGTTATGACCAGAGAACCAGTAAAATACCGTCATCACAAAAGTAAAGAAAGTGCAAATATAGCATTTGTAAAAAGGGAATCTTAGACTAAAACAAATAAGTTTTAAATGTCACCTATTTAACTGAAGTAACATTTTGGATAAAGGAAGTCTTTAATTTTAACAAACACCTCCACCGTTCAAATTAAGGTGAAAGAGGTAAATATCTTCAAGACCTCCCAAGAGCAGACCTCCAGCCAAAACAGGGAAGACCAGGATTCCTGATATTTCTATGATCAAACATATAGGACAATATTTAAAAATAGCTTTCAGGACTTCTTTATATATAGTATTCCGCATTTTCAGTTTTTAAACCACTTTTCACCAAGTTACCTTTTTTTTTTTTTTTTAAATTAAAGGAGTTCAGGTTTTACTGATTAACACATGTATCAATCCAATCCACTCAATTCTCCCTCCCTCCGGTACTTATTTTTGTTAAACACTAATGCTTTACACGATTGTTATGTCCTGCAGCTCTGAGATTGAAGCAGTTCTGCATGGTAAAACCCAGCACGCACACAGTGAAGGTCAGAAAAAACAATGTTAATATTGTGCTATTTCTTTGCATCTGTTTAGTGCGGCACTAAGTTTAAATAATCTATCCTCCACAGATAAAGAGAAGGTAAAAAAGGTAAACATAGGGTAAAAACAAAAATATATGCCTGAATATCAGTGCTTAGAAATTTTCAAGAAGAGTAAAGATGGAAGGGAAGAGGATGCATTGTGCTGCAAGGACTACAGTACTGAGGTCAGGGCTCATGCTGACAGAATAAAGGAGCATGTTGAAAGCGAACGACAAGAAGCTTAAAGAAAGTGAGCTTCCAGATAAACCGTCAATATCAGGAGCTTTCACCAAGGCTTCCATGAAAGAGAAGAGACAGCACAATTATGTCAATGAATTTGTGCATGCTCTTTGTTTCACTGGACAACCGCTGTTAATTGCAGAGGGGCCTGCTGGTGACTATCTGACAATACTGTCCACAGAAGCAAAAACCCTTCCTAATGCAGACAACCTCACTCGTAAGTATCTAAAAGAAAAATGACAATGCTTTAGTGTATAAACACATGGAATGAATTAATGGAAACGTGGTGTCTAGATTGATTTTTGACAAGTCTTCTGATGCTTTGGCCTATCCAATTCTTGGCTTTTTGTTTTTTTTATTTCACTGACATGTTTGAAATGTACCAACAAATGTGGGAAAATGTGGCCACAATAAACAGAGATTCTGCTTCCGACATGGCTAAGTTTGCATGGGAGATTAAACTCAATTGAAAACCGGAGCTGCTACGTATTGCCTGTCCTGCTCATCTGACTACCATTGTCCTGTCAGCAGCTACTGCTACTGAAGAAATGAAGGACGTGAAATCTTAGATCACTGGATTTGGGGCCATTTTCAAAAATGCGAACAAGCTGAAGACTTTGCTTTACATAGTGCGAAATGAGTGCAGAGCTGACTGCCGATTACCTACCCCTGCTGTACCACAGCGGTGGATGAGCTTGTGCTTCGCTGCTTGTCATGTAAATAACGTGTGGACTGTTCTAATGTGTCTTTAGATCATCCTGAGTTTGTTGGTTCTAAAGCAGACACACTGAAAAAACTGACCACCAGATTCTGTGCACCCAGGCAATGTTTGTTGTTGAAAACTTGGAATCACTGTGGGACACTCAGAAAACACTGGAGTTTTCTGCAACTACTGCCAACATGTTTGCTAATACAGATGTTTACTAGATCCTGACGATGAAAATCTCAGCTGAATTGAGCACAAAAGCTGCAGGAGAAACATACGGTGAAAAACCCTGCTGTTTCTGGAAATCCTTCTGATTCTGGAACACGAGAAAAATAAAAAAAGTTCAAAGCCTTCACAGTGCTCAGCGAGAACTGAGAGACGACCATGGCCCATAATTTGAACCCCGAAGTGTTTGGTGCCAAAGATTCTTTTTGGAATGTCATACAGGTGGTTGCACCCCTTTCTCAAGGTTAATTTTGCAATAGACTACGATCATTATGCCAGAGTGTTCCAGACATTTGCTACTAAAGATGACATTTCAAATCTGAAAGGGGACTTTACTACTGACATAAATGTGCCTACCCCTGACAGTGTGAAACTGGATGTACTGGCTTTTTGGAAAAAAGTCATCAAGACACTTCCCAACTTCAGCAAAGTGGCACGGTGAGCTTTGAGTGTGCCCCCTGGATATATTGATGAAGAGTGCTCATTTGCAAAGTTGGCCTACCTCCAAGACAGGAAGAGGCTCCACATGAGTGAGGATACTTCGAAGAAAATTATGTGAGCATGCCTAAACCAGGATTTCTGGAAAAACTACTAGTTCTGAGAAAAGCAAAAAGCATCTTTGTACATTTAAAAAGTTTCAGTTATACTGTAGTAAAATGTGCATATTATGAAAGGTTTTCTTGTTCTTGTTTTTCCCTTTCCCCAGATTTTTTTTGTTATTGTTTTTAAAAAAACAATTTCATCTCTGTTTTAATGTTTGGAAAATAAACACCCAAAAATTCCTGGAGTGTTTTTAAAAAAAAAAAAAAAAAAAAACACAACAAACTTGAAAATGTGGAACACTATTTATATACCATAAAGCAGCAAAAGAGCACAAACTCAATCTTTGAACAATCCATTGCAGGGCCTCTAAGAGTCTTTCAGTGAAAATAGTTAAAGAGGCAGTTGATATGAAGGTATCAACTTTAATTTAGTCAATTGTTTTAAAAGCATCAAAGCTACTCACTTTCCAAGAAGGTTGATGTTCTGTGAAATTACTCCATTCTCACTGAGTATGGAATCCATCATTGAGACAGGGTCTTCTGCAGTTAGAGTTGACTGGTTGTTCAGCTGAACAGCACTAGACATGAGGGGGCTTGCACTGTCACTGACAGGACTGAGGGGATCACTGGCTGGGATAGTGATTGGTTCGATATTTTTATCCCCTTGAATTACAGGGATGTTGTCATCCTCATTATCATCTTCTACAATTACAATATCAGGAGAATGACTACAGCTGCAATACATAAAACAGAGGGGTTAAACTCTGAAGAGGCAACAACTACCTCCTTCAAAGTCCTGCTGTAAGGATTAAATAGCTGCAAAGCACTTTGAATATGTAAATAGTGGCTAACTCTTTAGTTAAGGAATCTAGATTTCCATTTTAAGCCCCATTTTAACCTCTCACCATCTCCTCAAATTTTGATGGCAGTAACAAAAACATGTTTAAAATACAGTAAAAAGAATCTCAAGAAATTGGAAAAATGAAGATTAAGAAGCTAACAACCATCTTTAATCAAAAATACTTGGTTTTAAAGTTTCCCTGTTCTCTTACATTTTAATAAAACTTTCTCAGCAAAGTAGGTTAGAAGGACAATTCCAAGCTTCACATTCAGATGAAGCTTGTTAGGGGACAGTTATAGGGCATTTTCCAGGGATTAAATACTTCAAAATCATTATGGAATCTTAATTCTTATGGACTGGAACTAGAAAGGCTGAAGGTATCAGGCTAGACAAAGCCAGTTTTATTTTGAGTCATGCCTGTTTGCTACTATTTTCTGATTCTGGAGGATTAAGTTTTACAGGACCAGGAGAAAAACAAAACAAAAAAAACACTGAGAGGAACGCCAGTAGGTGGTTATGAGAGAAGGTGGGTACTAAGAATGGGAACTGAAGGGGCTGGTGAAGAAAAGCCAATCTTGTCATGGCTGATGAGCTTAATTAGGCTCAATGGGCAGTTTAAGCATTTAAGTCTCACAGATGCAAGGGCTAATAGGATCCTGGGAAGTGTACTCTTCTCCCCTTTTACTGCATTCTGATGCTCCCCTGGCCCTATGCAAAGGATCCCAGAAATGAAAAAACCCTGCCCCACAATTCTCACAATGCCCTTCTAGTACCCACAACTCATTATTATGCAGCAGGTCACAGACAATGAAACATCATTTCCCTCCATGATGCCAGGGAGAAAAACACAACTTTCACAAGTGTTTAAAGTATTAAGGAAATGCCACACTTTTAAATGGGTATTTTTTTAAAAGACTAATCTTCACTCTAAACTTACTGAATTTCTAATGCTCTTTTTAAATATAAAAAAAAAATCTTATTGTTGTAGTTTAAACCCTTAAATTACTGATGTATACTCCCACTTAATGTCATTTTTCTGTGGGGGGGTGAGGGGAGGAGTAAGCATCAATTTGCCAAAACCAAATCAGTGGTTTAAGTCTCAGACAACAAAATCTGGATTTCAAATCCATAAAGCATAAAATATACACTATTATGCAGTGTAAACCAAGGGTTACATTGGGAGACAATCCTTGAGCCAGAAGTACTGAGATTATCACCTGCTTGTACCTGAGAGTGTACTATAAAGATAGGTGTGGACAACAGGTAACGTATGTAGCACAGAATTAAGGAGTAAAATGGGGGGAATGTACACAAGACTCCTCTTGAACTATAGAACTGAGAAGGCTGGAGGACTTCCAGTCTCCAAAGGAAATCAATGATGGTGGCGGCTTGCAGTCAGCAAAAAATGACTGAAATGTTCAGAGGGCAACATTTACACTTGGCAGAGATAGCAGGACAGCTACCCTCAACAGCATTAAAAAAAAAAAAAAAAAAAAACATTAAACTAGGGGGGGTTCCAATCTTGTGCTAAGGAAGTAAAGACCAAGAAATGAGAATAGCGTACAGATGGCACTTCTAGAAAAGTAGTATATGCCCCAGTGATCCTTCATTTTTAAAAATATTTTATTTTAGCTGAATTCTCATCCTAGCCACACTAAGCTACAACTGCCAAATTGTCCTGTGAAGCCAGTGCAGAGGCCTGGAGTGCAAAGGATTTGCATATGTATAGTAACTTTCAGTAACTTGCTTCCTTTACTGAAATGGAATTATACAAGATATATCTCAACTGTATTGTGTAGATCTGAATTAGATTTTAAGGTTAGGATCTCCCTGTCTATACTGAACTGCTGAGTGCCCTCTGCACTCATACAAACATTTCTTACTTGGAAGAGTCTGACGTAGCATCCTCATTTGTTTCTGGAGTAATGGGAGCACTTTCTTCTTCACCCATAGTATTTTCTTCCTCACCAATATCATCAGTGACATCATAAATAATTATGTCATCTGAAATCTGCTCCCTCTGCTCCAGTCCCTCAGTTCTGCTGAGTGGTACCTGAGAATTATAAAAGCACAACTACTATAAAGAAAAAGAACCAAATTTCCAAACTAAAAATCAGACCCAAATACAACACTTCAATTAAGAGCCCTAACTGAATCCCTAATTTTTAAAAAAAGTTCTGGATATCCTAGGAAAACCCTTAAGACACAAGACACTTTTTCCACACAGATTTTTATTCATATTTTAATTATTTGGCATAAATAATTTTGTAACAGAATATTTAAACAATTAGGCATATAGCTGTACATTTTGCTGAGTGATGAATTTATTTTGGGAAAGTAGTTAAAGATGATTATAACAGTTATAATCCAACCAAGGATCAGACAGTGTAAAACAAAATAAGCCAAAAACCTTGGAGAGTGATACAAAAATATATCAGCACTGTAAAATCAACAAGAACAGTGTCACAACAGAAGCTGGAAATTTATACACACATTACAATGGAAACAGTTTAACTACCAATCCTAATCTGCCATTAAAGTAGTTCATTGGCATGCAGCTGCTATTCACTTCAAAACACTCTTCTCCCCCTCTTTTGCCTCACTTTTAGCTGATAAATACAGCACAACTACAGCCACTATAGGGCACTCCTGTTAATACTTGTTTACCTTTTTCCATCCCTCCAGTTGCCACATGAACAAATAATGTCCACTTCAAAATGAACTTACATGATGGTTTTTGTCAGCTGATTCTTTGACGATCTGCTGAAACATAGTGGACTTTGGAGGTCCATTGGTATTCAGAAGTAGTGGCCTAAATCAAAGGGAGGTGGGGGAGAAAAAGTCAGTTGCATGAACACTACTAAAGCATGAATAATGTTTCTAAAGAGAAAAACAGCCCAGCAAAAGAAACCTGTATTAGCTGGTTAACATTGACAACATTCCCCCCCCCCCCCCAATATTGTACTTACCGTTTACGTTTTAGACTCACTAGCTGGTTATTCTGCACCAGAGTAACAATGAACTGTACAATCTACAAGAAAAGGAAGATAAGTAAACACTACCATGCCAGGTTTTGTCAAAAAACAAAAACAAAACAACAATGGTAGCCCACAGCAGTACAAACTACAAAGTTTACCATACTTAGAATCACAGACTTACGAGGGACTGCAAAGGTCACCTAGCCTAACCTCCGGCCAAGATGCAGGATTTGTGTCTAAACCATCCAAGACAGATGGCTATCGAGCCTCCTTTTGAAAACCTCCAGTGAAGGAGCTTCCACAACCTCCCTAGGCAGTCTATTTCATTGTCTTACTGTTCTTACAGTTAGGAATTTTTTCCTGAGATTTAATCTAAATCTTCCACAAACAATTTCACAAGTTCACAGGAATGATCAGTGTTGTATAAAAGAGATCCCCACCAACAACAGGAAAGTGAGTATCTTACGGAACCACCCCCCAGTAAATGCTCTATAGGTACAACATGGCAGAAATGTGATCTCTGGATTTCAAGTTATTTTACAAGGTAGTTTCACATGAAATTTGTGAACTGGAGGTTGTCGAAGAAATTCCCAGCAAAAATATCTTCAGAAGAGAGAAGTTTTCTGTAACAAAAATGAACACAATTCACTGTCAAGTCCAAAAACCAAGAGATCCAGATGCCACATGGGAAAGAGTAAAAAAGTGAATGTTCTCTCAAATGCTCCAATATTTTACTACTCCCACAGAAACATGTGGTACAAAAAAGAAAACAGCCCAAATTTGCTCCATTTTCTGCTCTTTAAGAAACTTTTAAAATTTGCTATTTACAAAATATGTTCTTAAGAAAAGAAGCAAAACTATAAGAACATAAGAATGGCCCTACTGGGTCAGACTAAAGGTCCATTTAGCCCAGTATCCGGTCTTCCAACAGTGGCCAATGCCAGGTGCCCCAGTGGGAATGAACAGAACAGGTAATCAAGTGATCCATCCCCCGCTGCCCATTCCCAGCTTCCGGCAAACAAAGGCTAGGGACACCATTCCTGCCCATCCTAGCTAATAGCCATTGATGGACCTATCCTCCATGAACTTATCTTGTTTTTTTTTTTAACCCTGTTATGGTCTTGGCCTTCACAACATCCTCTGCTAAGGAGTTCCACAGATTGACTGTGCGTTGTGTGAAGAAATACTTCCTTTTATTTGTTTTAAACCTAATGCCTATTAATTTCTTTTGGTGACCCCTAGTTCTTGCATTATAAGTAGTAGTAAACCACACTTCCTTATCTACTTTCTCTACAACTGTCATGATTTTATAAACAATCATATCTCCCCTTAGCGGTCTCTTTTCCAACCTGAAAAGTCCCAGTCTTATTAATCTCTCCTCATACAGAAGCCGTTCCATACCCCTAATCATTTTTGTTGCCCTTTTCTGAACCTTTTCCAGTTCCAATATATCTTTTTTTGAGATGGGGCGACCACATCTGAACAGTAGTCAAGATGTGGGCATACCATGGATTTATATACAGGCAACATGATGATATTTTCTGTCCTATTATCTATCCCTTTCTTAATTATTCCCAGCATTCTGTTCGCTTTTTTGACTGCCGCTGCACATTGAGTGAATGTTTTCAGAGAACTATCCACAATAACTCCAAGATCTTTCTTGAGTGGGAACAGCTAATTTAGACCCCATCATTTTAAATGTTTAGTTTAAACATTAATGCTTTCCAATGTGCATTACTTTGCATTTATCAACATGAAATTTCATCTGCCATTTTGTTGCCCAGTCACCCAGTTTTGGGAGATCCTTTTGTAGCTCTTCGCAGTCTGCCTGGGTCTTAACTATCTTTAGTAATTTTGTATCATCTGCAAATTTTGCCACCTCACTGTTTACCCCCTTTTCCAGATCATTTATGAATATTTTGAACAGGAGTGGTCCCAGAACAGACCCTTGGGGGACACCACTATTTACCCCTCTCCATTCTGAAAACTGACCATTTATACCTACCCTCTGTTTCCTATCTTTTAACCAGTTACCAATCTATGAGAGCACTGTCCCTCTTATTCTGTGGCAGCTTACTTTGCGTAAGAGCCTTTGTTGAGGGACCTTGTCAAATGCTTTCTGAAAATCTAAGTACACTATATCCACTGGATCCCCTTGGTCCACTTGCTTGTTGACCCCCTCAAAGAATTCTAGTAGATTGGTGAGGCATTATTTCCCTTTACTAAAAATCATGTTGACTCTTCAACAAAATTATGTTCGTCTATATGTCTGACAATATTGTTCTTTATTATAGTTTCTACCAGTTAGCCTGGTACTGAAGTCAGGTTTACAGGCCTGTAATTGCCAGGATCACCTCTGGAGCCCTTTTAAAAACTTGGCATCACATTAGCTATCCTACAGTCATCTGGTACAGAAGCTGATTAAAATGGATAGGTTACAGACTACAGTTAGGCAACTGATATGCTGTAAAAATAGTCAAACAAAATACTTCGATAAAAGGATTAATGTATTTTAAAACTAAAATTTCGTAATTTAATATTTTAAAATAAAAGTTCAATAAACTATTTGCTTCTATATTCTACCTACCACCAAATCTACTGATCTTCCTCTACAAAAGCAAAAACCCTATTCCCTGAGACCTTGGAAAATCCTGTCCACCATTGTAGCTTTTTGAGTTGACAACTATGTTTTTAAATCTTTAACTACATACTATATGGCTTAATTCAAATTAACTTTTTAATTGTATTTCATTTTCAGCATCAACAAACCATGCCGTGTTGACATCAGCTAATAAGTGACCAAAAACATTACTTTGTTCCTAAAATGTATTTTAGAATTTAATCACTTGAAATGCTGCAAGTTATTCACACAGAATTCTGCTGGGGATTCTACCAATGGAGGCCATCTCCAAAACTGGGGAGGGAGGGAAGGAAGGAAGCCAATTTAGAGTTGCCCTGGAGAGGGTTTTCCTAGGAAAGTAAAGAGGCAAACATGATGTCATCCCTGTAATCCTTCCGTGTCTTTATACACTGCCACATGCTGAGTTAATGCTCATTTTACAAAGATTAAAAGATCTGGCTATTTTGAAGAAAACTAGATTTCACATAGCATAGTACTGAGGTAGTCAGAGTAAGGACAACATAAGTCATATGTGCACATAAAATATATCTAATCAGACAGAAGCAGCTGTATAATCCACAAATGAAGTCTTACCTTTCGAATAACCTGTTGCTGCTGCAAGTGTTTTGCTCTCAATTCTGCCACTTCCCTCCAAAGAGATTCATTTTCCCTGTTTCAACAAAAGTGATTTAGAAAGCTAAACTCAAACTTAAGAAGCCCTTATTTTTTGTGAAACTGTATTAATGTAATACAGGCTCAAAGACATTTCACAAAGCTATACATCCTTCCTATGAAGTACCATTGGCAGTAGCCTTGGAAGAAAGTTACATAGCACAGAACTAGGGTGACCACACAGCAAGTGTGAAAAATCGGGACAGGGTGGGAGGTAATAGGAGCCTATATAAGAAAAAGACCCAAAAGTTGGGACTGTCCCTATAAAATCGGGACATCTGGTCACCCTACACAGAACCCAAAGCAGCCCATGGGAATGGTCTGATTAGAGCTGGGCAAAATTTGAAAAAATAATTTGCCAGAAAATGCTATTTCGGTCAACAGGAAACTATTCACAAATCTGATGCAAATTACCCAAATAATTTCAGCCAGAAGCATGGGTGGCACCGATGCCTCTCCTGTAAATTTTAGCCTAGCAGTTAGGGCACTTGTCTGGGCTATTGGAGACCCCTCCAGTTCAGTTCCCCTTTCTGCCTGATGTGGATTAGGAATTTGAACTGCGGTGTGGAAGACCAGAGTAGAGTGCCCTAACCCCTGGGATACTGGACAACACGGAGTGGGCATGTCTCAACTCTCCTGTCAAAGCTGTTCCACTTTGTATAAGATACCTGAACAATCACCGGGCCAGAGACAGAGTGAGTATTCTATAGCCTGGAGGTCAGGGCACTCACATTGACGGGAGACCACGTACATGTCCCTGTTCCAATAATGAATTTATACACTGTGAAATAGCTTCAACAGGACAGACAGAGATCCACACCAGAATATGCAATAGCCTAGTGATAGAGCACTCTCCTGCAATACCCAAGACCCGGTTTCAAATTGCTTTTCCATATCAGGCTGAAGGGGAAATGAACCCATGTCTCCCAATCTTAGGTGAGTGCCCTAGCCACTGACAGCTAAAGGTTATGAGAGGCAATACCACCTTCCTCCTGTCATTCTAGCCCTTCTATTCCTTTGTTTTTATGCTAAAAGCTCCCTGGAAACCAAATGGTTCATTTCAGGACAAACACAATGTTTTATTCAACTCCAAACAAAATTTGCTGAGTTTTTCAATTTGCCAAAGTTTTTCTGGGAATTTTCAGATTCTGTTCAACCCTTTATTTCATTTCTTTGGAACTACCAGTGAACCAAAAAACAGATATCCTCCCTCATCAAATTATCTGAGTGCCTTCATTCCCTTCAGCTATTATTCTATAGTGTAATCTCTCCAAATTAATTATATCTTCAAAAGATTTAAAAAAAGAGTATGACGTCTGAGGGCTGGTCCACACTAAGCCCCCAGTTCGAACTAAGATACGCAACTTCAGCTACGTGAATAACGTAGCTGAAGTCGAAGTATCTTAGTTTGAACTTAAAGGTACCTAACGCGGGTCCACACACAGCAGGCAGGCTCCCCCGTCGACTCCGCCTACTCCTCTCGCGGAGCAGGATTACCGGCGTCGACAGCGAGCACTTCCGGGATCGATTTATCGTGTCTAGACAAGACGAGATAAATCGATCCCAGAAGATCGATTGCTTGCCGCCGAACCAGCGGGTAAGTATAGACAGCAGTCAAAGAGAATAAGAGCCCACATGAATATAAGCAGCTGTCTATCTCAAATTGCCAGTTTGCTGACTGGAATTTTACATTCACAGCCTGTGACCTGTCCATGACTTACTATGTACCCCTAACTAAAACTTGGGCTGGGGACCAGGGGTGCTTAGGGGGAGGGAGCGGGGAGAGAGACTGTCTGGGACTCCCGCAGGTGCTGGCCCGGAACCCCCACTGGTGATGGGGGAGGGGGCATTGGCGGGCTGGCAGGGGCTCTCTACCCAGCTCCGCATGTCCCTGCGGCTCCCAGCTAAAACAATCGCACTGTTAAACAATAGAAAACCATTTATTTAAATATTTTTTGATATTTTCTACATTTTCAAATATTTTTATTTCAATTACACCACAGAATACAAAGTGTACAGTGCTAACTTTACATTTATTTTTTTAAAATATTTGCATTGTAAAACAAAATAGTATTTTTCAATTCATCTAATTGAAGTACTGTAGTGCAATCTCTATCATGAAAGTTAAACTTACAAATTAGAATTATGTACAAAAAATAACTGCATTCAAAAATAAAACAATGTAAAACTTTAGAGCCTAGAAGGTCCCCTCAGTCCTAGTTCTTGTACAGCCAATCACTCAGACAAACAAGTTTGTTTACATTTGCAGGAAATAATGCTGCCCACTTCTTGTTTACAATGTCATCTGAAAGTGAGAATGGGGGTGTAGCAAGTTATTTACGTGCCAGATAAAGATTCACATGTCCCTTCATGCTTCAACCACGATTCCAGAGGACGTGTGTCCATGCTTATGACAGGTTCTGCTAGATAACAATCCAAAGCAGTGCAGACCGACATGTTCATTTTCATCATCTGACTCAGATGCCAGCAGCACAAGGTTGAGTTTCCTTTTTGGTGGTGCGGGTTCTGTAGTTTCCACATCAGAGTGTTGCGCTTTTAAGACTTTGTCCCTCTCAGGTTTTGGAAGGCACTTCAGATTCTTAAGCCTTGGGTCGACTGCTGTAGTGATCTTTAGAAATTTCACATTGGTACCTTCTTTGCATTTTGTCAAATCTGAAGTGAAAGTGTTCTTAAAATGAAGAACATGTGCTGGGTCACCATCTGAGACTGCTATAACATGAAATATATGGCAGAATGCGGGTAAAACAACAGGAAACATACAATTCTCCCCCAAGGAGTTCAGTCATAGATTTAATTAATGCATTATTTTTTGAACGAGCGTCGTCAGCATGAAAACATGTCCTCTGGAATGGTGGCCAAAGCATGAAGAGGTATAGAAATGTTTAGCCTATCTGACATGTAAATACCTTGCAATGCCAGCTACAAAAGTAGAATGTGAATGCCTGTTATCACTTTCAGGTGATGTAAATAAGAAGAGGACAGCATTATCTCCCATAAACGTAAACAAACTTGTTTCTCTTAGTGATTGGCTGAACAAGAAGTAGGACTGAGTGGACTTGTAGGCTCTAAAGTTTAACAGTTTTTTAATGCAGTTATGTAACAAAAAAAAATTGACATATGTAAATTGCACTTTCACGATAAAGAGATTATACTACAGTACTTGTATGAGGTGAACTGAAAAATACTATTTCTTTTATCTTTTACAGTACAAATACTTTAATAAAAAATATAAATGAGTACTGTACATTATGTATTGTGTTGTAATTGAAATTCATATATTTGAAAATGTAGAAAAATATTTAATACATCTCAAAAGGTATTCTACTGTTTAACAGTGTGATTAAAACTGCGATTAATAGCGATTAATTTTTTTAACTATTAAATAACTAAGAGATCAAAACAGATGCTAATGTTAGTGTTTTCACTATATATATCCTCTATGTAAGAGCTATAGTATTACATTGCATATACCCCTGAAATTACGTTTACATTATGTATACTCCAGTAATTAGCTAACCCTAGATTAAAGTGTGTGTTAATATGAAAATGTATTCAGGTGTTCAATTAATAAGAGCTAGTGAAATATCCTATTGTTTGCTGTTATACAAACATTTGCATGTATGTATAACTAACTAAATTACTAAGAGATCGTAATTCCCTCTGCAGTATCTGGCACTGGCCACTGTCCGAAGACAGGATACTGATCTTGTTCTGGATTTATGAACTTTGACTCACCTGTTATTCTATCTTACCTGCTTTAACCTCTCAATAACTCATTCTTAAAAAAAAAAAAAAAAAAAAAAAAAAAAAAAAAAAAAAAAAAAAAAAAGAGCTAATATACCTATAGTTAGTTTACTATAGAATTGGCTGCTAGCATTGTCTTTGGTGTAAGATCTGACATACCAACTGATTTGGGGTAAGTGACTGATCCTTTGTAATTGAGTAACCTGATGAGGTGTGATTTTTGGTTTATGTAACTTTTATCACTAAGTCCAGTTTGTCTGGGTGGCAAGGCTGGAGAGCGTAAGGGGACTGTCTAACTCCATGGTAAGACGGGTATAGTGATCCAGGAGTGCACATTTGTAGATTGGTGGTATGTTCTATAATTAGATTTCACCAGTTTGGAACGTCTGCCCTTGTTTTCTGACAGTCTGTCCTGAGATAGTCACTCTCAGTGATGAGCCACTCTAGAGAGGTGTCACTCACTGACATTAATAGGTGGCAGGTTTAAATAAAACATAAGGAAGAACTTCTTCACACAACGCACAATCAACCTGTAGAACTTGTTGCCAGGGGATGTTGTGAAGGCCAAAAGCATAACTGGGTTCAAAAAAGAATTAGATAAGTTCATGGAGGACAGGTCCACTAATGGCTATCAGGAAAGATGGTCAGGGATGCAACCCCACACTCTGGATGTCCCCAAGCCTCAGACTGCTAGAAGCTGGGACTCTAGATGACAGGGGATGGATCACTCGATAATTGCCCCGTTAATTCCCTCTGCAGTATCTGGCACTGGCCACTGTCCGAAGACAGGATACTGTGTTAGATGGACCATTCGTCTGACCCAGTATAGCCAGTCTTATTTTCTTAATTCCAAACAGAGCTATCCAAATCACTTTTGCCAATAATTTTTAGAGTGTAAATATCAGGTATTAAGAACTATAGTATTCCCACTCATGGTTGCTAGGGGTTTAGTAATTCTAATCTATTTTAATCTCTGTAGAAATTAACAGAAGCACCAATGACTAGTCTATTTAGAGTGAAAAGCTTTACTATTGCTAAACGGGTAGCTGAATCTTCTCAACTGTTTAAACCATAGTATCCAAATTCTAGCATGATACTAGGGGTCTCAGAAAAACTTCAGAAGGGTGTTCCGAGTCAAACTTTTTTTAAATCATCAGTAGAGCACATCTTTCTAGGAATTTAACAGTGGGGGAGTGAAATAAAAAAATTAAATAAATCACGTTCAAATAACTGGTAGGACTGTACCACAAAAATTTTGTTCCGTCTCCCAAACTGGAGCACCAGAATCACTACCTACAATATATCAGAGGGGTAGCCGTGTTAGTCTGAGTCTGTAAAAAGCAACAGAGGGTCCTGTGGCACCTTTAAGACTAACAGAAGTATTGGGAGCATAAGCTTTCGTGGGTAAGAACCTCACTTCCTCAGATGCATCTGAAGAAGTGAGGTTCTTACCCACGAAAGCTTATGCTCCCAATACTTCTGTTAGTCTTAAAGGTGCCACAGGACCCTCTGTTGCTTTTTACCTACAATATAAAACTTCATAACACTAATTTTCAAATCTTTTATTTTGAAGTCTGATTATTCATCTTAAGTATTTTAAAACTAATTATCAAGTTGTTTAATTGCCACTCTCAGACAACTGCTCAACCACCAACTCACATGGCTGATAAGTTGTGTACATTTTATTTCGGTAAAAATTCTATTTCCATTTAAACTCTCCTTCCCAAACATGAGAAATATTTAAATCTGATCTTTTTGCAAAAAAGAACTTTTATACACTGCAGCAGTGTATAAAATGCACAATCAAGCCCCAATGACACATGCAAAGAGTAGACTTTAAACACCAATGTCTTTCTTACTATATTTGCAACTTCAAACAGATCAAATTCATTTCCCTTAGTGTTATTTGTGAATATTAATGCAAGTTAACAGTACTCTCACAAAGTAATATTTACCTCTTTAAGGCAGACAGCCTGGATTCAATGGTCTCGTGTTTAATTTGCACCTTCTGAGCACTGTTTATGATTTTAGACAGGTCTTCCTGACGGATTTTATTTTCTTCAGGTCTTGAAGAGGAAACCTTTAAAAGTAAAATAACCCACTGATGCAATATGAAATTCTGAATGCTAAATGTTATTTCTCTCCTACTACTCAAAAGAAATTGGTATTTATAAAACAGGCTGGATAACCGGCACTAGAAATCACTCTTTTATTTATCCTGGAATGTCATCATATATATTTTAATAATTTCTACATCACTGGGCATGTTGAAAATTAAAATTGTAAAACTAGTATATATCTACAGTATATTCTCCCTTTTATCATACTTGACTTGTATTTAAAAAAAGTCAAAGGCTTATAAACACACAGTTCTATTCTACTCTATAGAGGTTCTTACATAGCACCGTCCAGTATCATATTAAGTGACATACATAACATCTTATCCTCTCCCCAGGGGAAGCGCTGCATGGTTTTTTAAAAAGTTAAGTAAACTGTGCTATATATTTATATTAGTGAATGCAAGATCAAAATAGTACGATTTGTAGTTGGAACAAAACAAAAACAAAACAAAAAAAGTACAACTGTTTAATAAAAAATTAAGAATAAATTTGTTTTGTAATTTTCTCACCCCTTCGGTGGGCTGCTGATTTATTATAATGAATAATAGTTAAGGAAAAATAAAAAACAGTGAATGACATATATATAAAAAACAAAAAAAAAAACAAAAAAGGGGGATTACTTGGAAGTGCAATTCGTTTCATTTTCTCTTTAAAAGTAAAATCCAAAATTCCTTTGTGACTACAGGCCTCTGTGTCAACAGTAGCCAGTTGTGACTGACTGACATGCCCACCCTATCTGTTCACAAGACTAGCTAAAAGCAGTCAATGCTCCATGTGTTTTGTATGACCTTTCACTCACCTTCCTTTTAATATGTTCCAACAAGTCATCACGGCCCTGCTTAAAGTATGGGTGCTGGAACTCCACAGGACCATCCCGTTCCAATTTGACAATACCAGAGTCAACGTGGACTACTTTACGGAAGCCATCTGAAAAACAGTTTAACCATGAAGAAAAGAAAACACTACAGAATTTAGAACTTTACTGCCGCAACCCCTCCCCCGCCCACATTTTTAAGGGTTGGGTGAAAAAAAAAAAAAAAGTAGGATATTCTTAAATAGTTTTTAAGAAAGATAGCTATGCTAAAAAAACTTACACATATTTAGCTGTCTCACAAAGCTCGCCATGTTGTTGTGCTTGAAGTACTTAGGAAGAATCTCTTTTGCAAATCTTTGTTCATCCAACACCAGGAAACTCTGGCCATTCTAAAATGAAGAGCACATTTTGTATTTAATTTTTAAAAATTTGTTTTTATTAAGGGGCACAATAGATACATAACATCTTATGAGAGGATATCCTTTCCCCCACATGACACTATGAACTTTACTATGCAAACTGCTGCATCATGAGTAAGGCTGATTTTGTCACAGATATTTTTAATAAAAGTCAGACAGGTCACGGGCAAAATAGAAACATTAATGGAAGCCATGACCTGTCCCTAACTTTTACTTAAAATATCCCTGACAAAATGGGGATCTGGGAATCCCCACACTACAAGTGGGGCAACTGCAGAGACTAGGAGCTGCCTGTAGCAGCTGGGGGCTGCGGGGTACCCCTGCAGCCTGCAGTTCCTGGCATCCCCCGCTGCTCACAGGGGCTGAGAGCTCCGGGGTTCCTGCTGTCTGTGGGGGCCAGGAGCTTGGGTTCCTCCACAGCAGCTTGGAGCTGCGCACCACCCGCAGCAACAGGGAGCTCTGGGGTTGGTCCTGGCAAAGGTGGCAGGGATACCCACAGCTTCCTGCCCTAGCGGTGGGGGACTCTGCAGCTCCTGACCACCATAGGCTGAAGTCACGGAGGCCGCTGGAAGTCACGGATTCCATGACTGCCCACCCTCCGTGACTAAATTAGAGCCTTAATCATGACTGCCTCTATGTATATGGATCCACCACTGCTGATAGGACCTGTAGCAGCCTCACACCACTCAAGGACAATGGGGAATACTTAAGATTAATGATAGTACTTAGACCATACAAGTTATGCTAAAAAAAAAAAAAAAAAAAAAAGGCAGCTACATATTTGGAAAACTAGTGTAATCTTACCCCTCTGCAGGGAATGGGGGAAGATAGGAACAGGACAAAAGAGGCCAAGGAAACAGGCGAGGTTTAAATAGTAAACCACAGAAACAGAGAGAGCCAGACAGGAAAAAAGTTGGAAAGAGAAAAGTCACACAAAACTGGAGAAGTGACTGCATGAGGGAGAGAACGATCAGCATGTAAGAGCCTGCCTGAGGCAGGGAACACCCTGCCTGCCTAGATAGCAATAGTTCCCCCCAAAAAAGAGCGAGCTAGCAAGACGCACTGTGTTAAGGATGTTTGTTGTTTTCTATTTAATCTGTACTCTCTCGTGCTTCATATGATTAACTATAAACGGCAAAAATTACTCCTGGGGGAATTCTGCACCAAAAAAGTTATAAATTCTGTGCACAATATTTTAAAATTCTGCATATTTTCTTTGTCAAAACAATAATATAATCACCCCAGTTTCAGGTTTTTTGGTAATTTATTTCAAGATACCCGTCAGCATGTATGTCTGTAACAATACAGACAAAAAGAAAGACTCAGGAAATTTTTTTTTGGCAAACGAACAGATTCCTTATGAGGCATATTAGTACAGAGCTCTAAGTAATTCATTTAAAATACAATACAGAAATATATTTCCTGCACCCCTCAGAAGCAGTGCAAAAGGCCTGGGGGAGTCAGGGGTAATGGAAGAGCTGAGGGAGAGGGAAGGAATCTGAAGGGTGGTTGGAAGTAATATAGAACAGGGTGGATTTGGGGGGGGGGGGGAGAAAGAGATTGTTAGGAAGTCTCCTCCATGCAGACCTTGGCTGACCCCTAATCTCTCCCATTCAGCTAGGCACATCTGCCTCAGTCCCTGTGTGGCCCTGCAGCCCCTTCTCTAACCCCCCCCCCCCACTAGCTCCCGAGCCCACATCCCAGTCTGTCCCCTCCACTAGCCCTTCTGAACCCCAGTCTGTGACACACACCCCCCCCAGCAGCTCCATGTGCCCTGCTCTGTCAGTCCGGTGCTTCCTCTCCTGGCTCCGCTGTGAGGAACACAGCCTCTCCAGCTAGCTGCCCTCTTTTCTGGTCCAACAGGAGCTCCTGGTCGGGGAAAGGTGTAACTGCAGCACCTCTCCAGCAGAATCTATATTCTGCAGAGAAAAAACAATCTGCAGGGGCCCTGAATTCTGCATGTGCACAGAATTGCCCCATGAGTAAAAAAATGTGTTAGACTTGGGCGAAGTGCCCGAGTGCAATAACTGCATCACAATCACTGTGTGCATCCAGAGAGAGAGAGAGAAACGGTTACCAGAAGCTTTCACTCCTCTGGCGTGGAGTTCTGGGAGAAGTTGTGTTTAGGTACAGGATTACCACTGAACCCAAGGGGACTAGGCAGCTGGCAGTGGGTTCCAGCTCTCAGAAGGAGTTGTTGGAGTGCAGGTTTGCCAATGGACTCTGAGATTGGGGCAGTGGCTAGACATCATTAAGGCTCTGGAAGTTAAAACACCTGGTGATCCATGGACACAGAGGCTTGGATTTCCTTTACAGCAAGCAAATGGGTGGCCAGCAACATGTGCCCAGCAGGATCTCTGACACCTGCTGAATATGAATAGAATCTAAAGTGATATCTTCCTGAGTGCACAGACAGTTATCTCCATTGTTTCTGCTGTTGCTCATAGCTTCCTCAAGCACCAGGAGAACAAATTACTATGATTTATCAGTTGCATTGCTCCAATATGGTTCAGCATAACTGTATAGAATCCTGTCAGTTTCATTTGCTGCTTGGGAAAGGCCTGGGAAGGAGTGAAGTCTTAGGGACCCTCTTCCTCATAGCAGCCAAGAGGTTCTGGATGGACAGAAAAGAGACCGAGAACTCTTTCTCCCCTCTAGTAGCTAGAAAAGGGTAGGAATTTCAAGTTTATCAAATACCAGTTAGCCAGAGACTAATGTAAAAGATGAAGCTGTTAAATCCAGGAACAGCAGTTTGGTAGCAATCTCTGCACTCATCATTTCCATGCAGCTGGGTGTGAGGGAGGCTAGTTTTCTCACCAGTACATTGATCCTGAACTTTGATGAAGACTTTGCTGTCACTGTCAGACCTTGTCTACAGTAGAGCATTCAGCTGTTTGTGCTTCAAATAACTGTACTGCACCAAGTGAGGCACAATGACTGAATGCATCCCAACTGATTACCTTAGTTGGTTTATTTTGCCCTTGCATACATCAGGCTTGCCCTCAATTTAAGATGCGGGCTGTCATCTTTGACAGATGTCATTGATGAAAGCTCCAGATGACAAGCCTCCACTTCTCAACACAAAAATCTCTGCAGCCAGGGTCCGTCCTAGCTTAATAGGGAGAATTGAGAGACCATTAGGAATATCATTTACCATATGTGGTTCCTCAGAATGGGATTTACAACTGGCAAATCACGAGAGGTTCCCCATCTAAGGGTACGACTATACTTACCTCCGGGTTTGGCGGTAAGCAATCGATCTTCTGGGATCGATTTATCACGTCTTGTCTAGATGCGATAAATCGATCCCGGAAGTGCTCGCCGTCGACACCGGTACTCCTGCTCCGCGAGAGGAGTACGCGGAGTCGACGGGGGAGCCTGCCTGAGTACCTTGTAGTTCGAACTAAGGTACTTCGACTTCAGCTACTTTATTCACGTAGCTGAAGTTGCGTATCTTAGTTTGAACTGGGGGGTTAGTGTGGACCAGCCCTAAGAAGTCACAGAGCTCAAATTTGGGGGCACGGCTGAGGGGCAGGGGACACTTTGCAAGGGTATGGCAGAAGGCAAAGCACAGTGTCATCACTGGCAGTGGACCTGAGGAACAGACCATGAGAAGAGACACTGGGGGCAGGAGGGGGCTTGGCTGAAAGGGACAGAGAAAGGACTCTTAGCTGGTGTAACTAAGGAGGTTCACTACCTGAGAGAGCTGTTAAAGATTACACTGACTAACAGGAACTGTGTCTATGGTGGCACTCAATCGGAGAGTCAGCTGATTGAACCACAATTCAGATCTCTACAAGTTCCAGGGTTACTTCCACCAATAGTTGCTCCCCTGAATCATTTAAAGAGCTTTTTATTCGGATGAAAAGCACACTTGAAATGATGGGAACAATTAGTGCTTAGACAGGTAAATTTCTCCTGTGTAGAAAAGGCCTTCTTTAGTATCCAGTTAGTAGGTGTCTGGAAAATTTTCCAAATCCCATTGAACCCACTGTACCTCAAAAGAAAAGTGATGTAAATATCAAAGCCTGAAACACAGCATACCAGATTTTATTCTCTACAGATCAATATCGCTACATCATATCAATGAAAATAGTCAGAACCAGAGGTTAACACAACTGTGACAATGTTGTTCTTCCATTGTTACAATAAGGGGAACAGGTATCTGTTGAAATTCACAACTATTAGTGCTGTAAAATGGGACATTAAATCAAAGGTCTGACTACTTATATCCCAATGTCTTTTTGATCAAATTCCAAATCTGATCATTAGTTTCTGCTTCGACAAACTGCCCTACACAGTTACAAATGAACAAGTTATTCTTCACTTCCAGGAAAAAATAACTAATGCAGTGTTATCTTACACTAGCTATTGTGTATCCATTTAAGAGAGGGAAGTATTGTATGTAATGTTTTAGGGATGAGTTGTACTGCATTTGGAATCCTCCTAGATAAAACATCCATTATGAATGTAAAGTGTCACAACAGTATTTCTGCTAAGAATAGAGGTCCTTAAGTTAAATTAAAACTAGACAACACTGAATGGTCAGTTAAAGCATTTAGAGTTTCCATTCTCAAACAAGGGAACTAATATTAAACAAAAAGCAAATTAACAAAAAAAAAAAAAAAATCAATTCACACCAGGTGGGATCTCCAACTCCTGTTTCTCCTACTGGAAGTTCTGGTGGAGACTATCAGTGATTCATATAATACCACAGCAAACTATATACTAAAAATCAACATTGTTTAAAGATGTTTCTGACACAGTATAAGTGCCTACAGCGCTCTATCATGAATAGGACTTGTATCTCAGTGGGAGATGACACCGTAATACTTCAGAGAGGGCCCATATAACTAGGACTAGCTGGATCAGCTTCCCTTTCAGAAAGCACTGGAAAGTTTCTGAGGCCTGGTCTACACTACATGGTTAGGTCGCCACAAGGCAGCTTACATCAACCTAGTTGTGCATGT